ATAATTATATTATTACATGATTTTTAATATTTTTTAAAATAAACAAAAATTTTTTGAGGATGAGATTTTAAAGAAATCCGAGTAGTGATTCTTTAGAAATCTTTAGGTAAGAAAATTTATCTAAAATGCTAACAATGTATTAGAGCATTTAGATTAATTTTCAATAAATATTTCTTGTTTTTTTTAATGGCGTAGAAATGAGTTTTGAAAAACAATATTTGTTTTAAAAAAATATTATATTTTATGCTGAAAATAAACATGACTCACCGAGAATAGGATCTTTGAAAATTCCAAGTAACGATTCTTAAATGTTCCTAAAGTGAGATGATTCCTTTTAATATTGCTAGAGTATTGGAATATTTGTAGGAATTTTTCAATATAAAGTTCTTATTTATTTTTCAAGCATACTAAAAATATGTTTTTAAAGAAAATTGAGAAAATTAAATTTTCAATACCAAATTTAAGACAATTTTATCAATATTAAAATATAACATATGCTTAATTGATACTGTTTTAAATAGGCACTGTGGGGTGCCAATCCTTTCCTACGCTTAATCAACTTTCGAACCCAAACTGTTTTTTGCAAATCAAAAAATTATCTTTTTAATAAATTTTAATTATTTTTAAAATTTTATTATAAAATAAATTTTAATAGGTGACCAATAACACCTAATCAAAAAATATTAGTGTCAACTTTATTTCTTTTGTTTTTCAAATATGTCTGGCGGTCTCCAAAACCGTTACAACAATAATTATACATAACTTGGATTGGAACAAATCTTGCATCCTTTATATTTGAGCTTTATTGTGAAAAGTGGATTCAATTTGGACTATTATATGGAAACCCTTAATTTCCATTATATGAAGGATAGCAAGGTGCTCATATTTATCATGTGTGGAGAGAGAGAGAAATAATAGGCTAAATGGAAAATTGTAGAAATTTGCAACACAAGTTCATAGTCATACTAAAGAAGTGGTTAGATTGTGACTATCAGGGTTGACTCATTTCACAGCAAAGTGTGTTAATAACAATGTCTACACTAATTGGGGTCTAAATTAACCGACTTTTGTTGTTTGATTTTTGTATACTAGTTATTTCAGTTAGAACAATTTTGATGTAACAATACTTCAATCCTTTAGATATATAAAATTATTTAGTTATCTAAAAGAAAGCATTTGAATAAAAATTTAATAATCATTTAAATTTTTGATATTTTATTGCATTCAATCTAACTTAAATATTTTATTTTATATTAATTGAACATTTAAATATCTATTTTCATCCAATTAAACAATTAAATATCTATTTTCATCCAATTTTAGCCCTAGTTGGATAGGTGTTATTTTTATTTAATAAAGGCTCAATTGGTGAAAAAAATATTTGAAGGCTTAATTTATTTTAAAAAATCAACAAGAGGCTTGGATGATTAATTTAGTTTGGGGGAATTTTTTTTATACTTATGCCTTTTAGAAAAATCAAATACAGGTTTAATAAAAATAAAATAAATGTATTTCATATTTTTTGTGTCTATATGAATTGTGACACATTATTTTTTATATAAAATACAATACAAATACATGAATTATCAAGTCTACTTTTATGTTGCCAAATATATATAATTTTTATATGAAGTATTTTAGCGGTTTAAAATATTATCATATTTCTTTTTATTAATTTATTAAGTTTTTAATATATTTTAATGGGACATGTAATAACCCTAAATCCTTAATCATAATGTAAACTTTGGTTTTGTTTTTTCTATAATTTATTTGTTTTTCTTTTTTTTTTATTTAAAATTTTTCAAATAATTTCATTATAATTGTTTAACAAATCATTTATATAATTATTTAATAAACTAATTAAAAATATATATTTAAAAGTAAAAACTATAAATAAATAATCAATTTTATAATCAAATAAATTACTTGCAAATGAACAAAATCAAACATCTTTAAAATGAAGTAATCAACTAAAATAGATAATTATATAAATAATAAATTAAATAATTATTGATTGTTTTTATTTTAAGATTTGTAAATATATCATTATTTTTAAAAATAATGATTCTTTGAAAATAAAAATAATCATATATATATAACATAAAAAGTTAAAAATAAAAAATATAATCAATTTATTTATTGAATAAAAAAATTATATAAATGAAAATACTAAAATTTTAATTAATTATTTAAAGTAATGAATAAATTTATATAATATAATTGTATAGCCACCAAATAATGTAATTAATTACCTATCTAATATGCCTAATGATTATTATTTTATTCTTACTACATTTTATTTGATTAACATTGCATGTTTTTAGGTTAAATTATATAATTAGTTGTTTTATTTATATAAAATTTGAACTTTAGTTCTTATATAATAATTTACAAAAATTAAATTCACATATTGGTTTAATTTAATAATATTGATACAATTGATAATGGTGTTATTTGATCTAAGTTAAACTAGTTGACGTGGCCATTGATCATATTGACGTGGCATTGATTTACTGACGTAAAAATTGAGATTGTTGAAATTAGTTGTTAAATTATACAAATGATCTCTATACTCATACTCATACGAAATTTAAAATTTAGTTTTTATACTCGCACAAACAAAACTTAAAATTTAATCCTTATACTCATTCAAAATTTGAAATTTAATCTCTCTAATATAGAAAATTATTTTGAATTTCTTTTAGTTTTTTAAAAATATTAAATTTTAAAAATATTTTGGTTCTTTTAATATATTAGTTTTTATTATATATAATTAATTATTAATAATATCATATTAATAATATTATTATCATTTATATCTATTAATTATAATATTAATAATTTAAATTAATATATCAAAGTTAATGTTATTTTAATTAGTGTAAATATATCATATAACAAAATTTAAAATAAACCAAACTATTGAATAAAGTTGCATTTTTTAATGAATATGAAATAGACTATAAATAAAATAATCATTCCATCCATAAAAAAAAAAAAGATTCAAACCTAAATGTTTTGCAAGGGACAAGCTCTTATCCATTTAAAGAACAAACTTTAAATTCTTACAAAATGAAAAAAATGATTTATTTGGTAAACATCAATATTGTGTATCATAATGAGAACTTATAATTTTTGGGTTTTAAAAAATTTTTTTTTTTTTAATAAATGATATTAAATTATATAATAAGATTAATTTTAAAACCAATATATATTAAGTTTAGTAAATTATTTTAATATATTTAGAATCTTGAACTTATATTTGATTATAAAACATCATTTAAATAGGATTTAATTTAAAGTAATGAAAATATTATTTTATGGATAATTTGACTCTTATGGGATGTAATTATAATTGTAATTCATTAGATAAATTAATAAAAAATAATAATTTTATTAAAAAATTAGATATTGAGAAATTTATACCATATATTAACAAATTTGTAATAAATTTTTAATAAATTGGTTTAAAAGTTTTTTTATTAGCCATAATATGCTACGATTATATAAAAAAAGTGTGACAAAATTTGTAATAAATTTATGTTTTATGATAGATTGTGATAAGAAATTGTGATAGAATTAGTAATAATATTTTCACATAAGTGACAAAAAATTGTAACAGATTTGATGATAATATATGAAAATTATGATTAAATATTATAATAGAATTTTTAATATTATGATAGAATATTATAAGAGAATATTGAAGTAATTTTTACTATTTAATATTTTAAAAATCAAGAAAATCTTTAAAAAAATATTTTTGTATTAAAGGAATTAAATTTCAAATTTTGTGTGAATATAAGGACTAAATTTTAAATTTCGTGTGAATATAAAGATTATATTTTAAATTTTGTATGAATATAAAATTATTTACATGATTTAACAACTGATTTTATCAATTCTAATTATTACATCAAAAGTCAATGTCATATTATTAAAGTTAATGACTATGTGAATATAATCAGTGACTACATTAGCTAATTTAACAAAAATCAAGTAATACTATTATTAATTGAATCAATATTATTAAATTAAATTAATATAAAAATTTAACTTTTATAAATTATTATATAAAGATTAAAATTTAAATTTTATATAAACATAAAGACTAATTACATAATTTAAACTTTTTTTTTTAAAATACAAATCCGACTACTAATCTTACAATAGGCCCCATTTAGATGGCTAGTTACCGTCAGTGAGAAGTGATTATATCCTCTAATTGGACTAGCCGTCCATTTGCGTTACAAGATACTTTATGTTTTCATCGCATTGGAATTGTTTTTTAACTGGGGCTCAACCGCTCAAGGCTCCTGTGAATAAACTTGCCGCCCATTATACATATTTTTCTTCCAATTAAATCGCTATTTTCTTTTATTACCTTTAAATCTTTTCCTTTTTATTTTTTTGTTTTATTTTTTATTTAAAATTTTAAAATAACTTTGTTAATTTAATTTAATAAATAAAATATGATAATTATACAATAAAAGTAATTAATTAATAATTAAAATTAAATGAATACTAAATTTTATAATCAAATAAATATTTAATAAATTAAAAAATAAATATTTTGTAATTAGTATGAGCTAACAAAAATATATAATTATATAAATAATAAAAACAACAAATTTTAATGTAATATCTTTAAAATTATTTTATTTTCTTAATATATTTAATCTCATTGCTATAGATATTTTTACATTTAAACATATTTCATTGTTAATTTTAATTCCATCCACTATAATATTTTATTTCACCATTACAATAATTATTAATCTCATTAAAATTAATTTCACAGTTCATTCAAATAGACCCTTAATATATAAGTCTTCCCTATTTTTTTTTCCTCATTATATTTTGCTCAACTGTACATTTATGTACCGGGCCACAAACGTAGATTATTCCCTACAGAAAATTGCATATTCTACGTATAAAGGGGTGACATTGTTTGACATTGTTAAAAATTTTTAAAAACCTATATTAAATATCTTGAATCAAATTAAAAAATTAAATAAGAAAAAACAAAATTTCATTAAATAATTAACTTTTCCTGCGACCAAAACAAACGCTGTCTTAAAAGAATTCTTTCCTCGTCTTCAAAGGCCTGAAATCAAGATTAGTTGTGTTTTTTTTGCCACAATCTCTCCATTTGTTCAAATGCGAGAATGCCAACCGCATCAGAAGCTCCCTACAATTTTTCCTACCAAACTGAAGTCTTGAAATCCGCAATCCTCTCAAGGCTTCTCCTCTTAATCCTAATCCTCTTGTGGCGGACCCTTCTCACCCCCTACGACACCTCGGCGCCCCTCAATCCCACATGCCTCAACCACCCCTCTTCCTCTCCCCCTCCTCCTCTCCTCCCCTCCCTCGGCTCCGCCATCGAAAACGGCGTCGTCTGGGACAGCGTTTACTTCCTTCGGATCGCTCAGTGCGGGTATGAATACGAGCAGTCGTACGCGTTTCTCCCATTATTGCCGGCATGCATCTTTATCTTATCACGCACAGGTTCGATACTTCATTACAAAATTTGAAGAATTGGGATTGTATTTTAAACTCTACTGGCAGCGTATGACATAATTTTCCATTTTCGTTACAGTTTTTGCGCCTTTGGTTTCGCTGATTGGTGATAGGGCAGTGTTGGCATTGTCTGGTTATGTTATTTGCAATGTTGCATTTGTTTTAGCAGCTATTTACTTTTACAGGTGAGCCTTTTTTCATTACTAAGCGGAAATGCATACATCTACCATTGGGACACATGCTCAGTTTTGCTACTAAATGTTAGATTTAATGTCATAATAATAGCATTACAAGTTGTAATTTTAGATTGTGTCTGCGTTATTGTTTTTGATTTGATAATTGTGAATAGGGAAGTAATGATTAAGGTTTATTTCTTTGAAAGTTCTTTGTGATTCTAAATTCATAAATTGGCGTACACTTTTGATAGGGCAAAAGAACTCAATTTCTGACTCTTGTGTGATTTTGTGAATTAATGTAATACAATGCAAACATTGTATTGTTTCACTGAAAGATTAATGGAAATTGACTCTGGAAATGCTGGGACACTTAAGCAAAAGTAAAGAGTTTGATAGCATGGCCTCAGCATCTTTTACCCAAAATGTTAAGAAAGCAATATCTCTAATTGGTGATGACTGTTGTTATCAAAGTACGTAAATTTTCTGCCCACAAAACCTGTGCTTGTTTGAACTTGGACCATGTGATTTTGTAGCTTAGTAATAAGTCTTTTCTCATTGTAGTTCTTCCTCAATGACAACTCTCCTTGACCATACCAAGCTTTAATTTCTGTCACCTAAATGTTTTAGTGCAGTGCTTTCATGAGGATTTGACCAAAATATTGAGAGAAGCCATCATGAATATTTTTGCTTTGATCACTTTGTAGTTTCTCTCTTTTTTTTGTGACTTTGAAGCGGTGGAGCTGGCATTTTTCTCTCTAAAGGTTATGTACATTTAACATATGATTTCTGTTTCATGAATTCATATGTTCATGGAGCAGCTCTAGATCTCTTCATTTATCTAGAATGGCCAATTTGAAAATTTTCTCATAATTGTGTAGGATTTATGTTATATAACCTGAGTGTTCCCATTTCTTGTCTGAGTTGAGGTTTCTAGGTGCTCCAGACAAATAAAACCAAACTTAGTTGGGAATGTGTACTTGTATTCTGAGACAGTCTTACTATGTTTGGTAGTTGGAATGGCAAGAAATGTGGGCACCTACTGCAATTATGATTTAAGTTTTCTAATGTATAAGTGTTAGCTTGTCTATTATTTGTTTTATCTTAAAGTTGGTGAATTTTAACAGTCTCCATTGTAGCTTTAAGTAAAATTGTTATTACCTTTTTGTCTGTGATATATTGCTAAATTTTTTTCTACATTTATTGAGAATCATAATGTTTTATTTTACTGATACTTATGATTGCTGTTGTGGTGCTTCTTGCTCTAACAGGCTTTCAGCTGTTGTTTTGAAGGACCCTAATGCAGCATTGCGGGCTTCTGTTTTATTTTGCTTCAATCCAGCGTCCATATTCTACTCATCAATGTAGTGCTCTCATTTCTTTCTTCTTGCGTTGATTATCAAAAGGTGAACTTAATTTTGGATTCTCTTTTCTGTGTGTTCTTGTGATGGCAGATATTCAGAGAGCTTGTATGCCCTATTTTCAGTTGGTGGATTGTACTATTTAGAATCTCGTGCAAATAATACTGCTTTGGTTTGGCTTGCCCTTTCTGGTTTTGCAAGATCTAATGGAGTGCTCAATGCTGGTTATTATGGTTTTCAGACAATGCATCAGGCTTATGATGCTGCATTCATGAGAAAGCGTGCTCTTGTAAGTTTCTTGTTTTCTTTGGTTACATGTTCCATTTTTAAGCAGTTTTATTCCCCACTAGGCTTTTTCATTAAAGCAAAGTTGAAAGGACCATATTGCAACATCATTTATCCTGTTTGATCAATGCATCTGCCTCATTGTTCCCGTATCTAACAGGGCATTTGATTTTTAGAAAGAAATATGCTCTAAATAAGCACAATAGGTGTAGATGAAGGCATAGATGATAGACATTCATATAATGCAGTGTAGTATTGTTACATGAAATAATCTTTATGAGGAAATAAGAATAATTTTGCTTATTGATGCTACTATATTTTCAACATAATGACATTGCTTCTGACATATTAATTAGCATCAATATATAGTTGGGAATCTTATGATATGGAATGGACATTAATCCTTAACATCTTTTGTAGTTGACACTTGTCCAATCTAAATCACTTTGCTTATACTGCAAATGTGCTTCTTTTTTATGATTATTTTTATTCAATTCTTGGCAAGGTAGGGACCTAGCCAGAGGTGCTCTAAAAGTTCTCATTCTAAATGGCATGAGTGCACTGATTGAAAAATGCTGTGATTTTCCCTACCCACTTAAACAAACAATATTCATTCCAATCCAGTGACAGGTAGTTAAAGTTGGAAAACCACAATACATGCTGGTAGTCAAGTATTGGCATTGGTATTAAGCTACTAACTACTTTTGTTAATAAGATTGTTGCTGACCAATTATCTCAAAACCTAAGCTTTAAGAAAGGGCCCAACTTTTATTTAAGTTTTAATACATCTCCTCGTGTGTGTGAACAGAATGAATGTTTAATGGGCTTTGCACGTGGGCCCAAATTTGGAAGAAAACTGTAAGCTAAAGAAGCATTAAACAAGTATCGCACATAAAGCCTCTTACTTGGTGAAGAAATTAATGAAAATGGGGGGTGGGGTGGGGGTGGTGCTTCTGGGATTCGAATTTGTAATCTCAGCTCTAATACCATGTTAATGAGATAGTGAGGTGACCGATTATATTAAAAGCTTACGCTATTAGAAATGGACCAATTTTAATATTTAACTTCTAGCAGTTTTATTTGTTATGCTTTATGGAATCCTTTAATGCATTTACTAGAAATATTTTACTGTGTCATAAAATTGATCTTTTAATACTATCATATTCATTTTTTAGTAGTTCTATATACTTAATCTTAAATTCACTGTGCATATAACTTTGTATGCAGATTAAGAAGAAAATTTTGACTTTAGTGCATGCCGAGTTGCCAACTTTAGTTTTGCACCCTTTAGTCTTTAGCAAAATGAAGTGCCACACTAAACAAACGAATAAAATAAACCTTTTCCCACTAAGTATGATTGGCTTCACGTATTATATTGCTTTAGCACGTGTTATTTAAGACCATACTCAAATAAGTTCAGTAAAAATGAAGATTTTTTTATGGTTTCCATCCATGTTCTTTTTGGTCTTCTTGTCCTTGTGATATGAATATCTTCCATTTAATATTCATGTTCCCACTAGGGATTTGTAGTTGTCGTGGCTCTTTACATGTTAGACATGTTTCCTTAATTTAGTCCTCAATGACGGTGGATCATATTGAAAATGTCAAAGTAGCTATATTGGTCTATTAATCCCTCATTGGAATTGAGGAAATGCTTAAAAATTTGTTTTTCTTTTTTATGTATAGTATGCAAATTTGCATCAAAGTCAGTTGATTTATGGGAATGGATGGTTTCATAACTAATTTACTATTTCCATGCTAGTTGGCATTGCAGATTCTTTTAAGTGGAGCACTGCGTTGTATGTGCATTTTTGTTCCTTTTATTACTTTTCAAACATATGGCTACCACAATATATGCCTTGGACGTTCTTCAGATGAAATGAGGCCTTGGTGTAAAGCAAGAATACCTTTGTTATACAATTACATTCAAAGTCATTACTGGTATGTTCTTTTGCAATTGGTCATTGTATTCCATTCATTTCATTTTAATCATGCATGAGACGTTAATAATTCTCAGGTTTTCTAGTTGCTAATTTAAACATGCCGCTTGCAGAAAAGCTCTTTGGTATCTATTTCTAGCTTTCAAAATTAGGATTTTGATGTGATTGCCTTTCAGTTGCATGCTTTAATATTATACTTTATTCTTATTATTATTTTTTAATGCCAGGGGAGTGGGGTTCTTGAAATACTTCCAATTAAAACAATTGCCAAACTTTCTACTGGCATCTCCAATATTGTCTTTGGCAGTTTGCTCGATTATCTATTATGTGAAGTCACGACCTGAAATAGTTTTATCTTTGGGTTTTCAACCTTCACTTGAGGAAAAAAGTTCCACGGTTGTGATATTTTCTGAGGATAAATCATCAAACAGCCCCCCAATTTCAGAGAAATATACTTCTAGGAGGCAAGGTATTACTTTCAAAAACTAAATGGCTGGTCAATTGTAAATGCCTACTATGTGTGGGCATGGTTGTTGATTTGACCAAGGTTGTGATGACTTTCACATATAGTGGTCATTTAAGTATTATGTTAAGCATGCCTCTCTGATTTTAAATGTCAACTCAACCTTTAATTATCTTTCTTGCAAGATATTATATTAAAAAATATGTTGGACCATTTAGGCTACCTGTTGAAGCAATTATTATCTTTGTGACAGAAAACCATAATATTAAATTGAGGAAGAAAATGAACCGAGGAGGGGATCCTGCTGAGTGCAGAATAGATCATGGATCAGTAGAGAAGCTAGGATACACGTCTGCTTCTATTCTCCCATATATCCTGCACTTAAGCTTCATGGTAGCTACAGCATTTTTTGTCATGCATGTCCAGGTCAGTTTTGTCTTTTTGTCCTTGCATCCTTGAAATTGCTCAAGACCATTATGTTTGCAAAAATTTGATAACATGAGTAAGCATTATATCAATCTTTTTCTTATCTTCTTTCCTTCCCCTCTTGCTAACTCTCCTTTAGATGCAATAATTTTTTTGCCTTTTGATTTCACTAGGGAAGATTGTTGTTGAAACTAAGCATGATGGGGCTTATATCTGAAATTTCATGGTGAATCAATGATATTTGGAATAAATCACTTTTTGTTTGTCATATCTATTTAGAATTTCTAGTGGACATAAGTAGATCATGTTTTATACCGTTACTTTAAATCCTAGGATAAAGTTGGGTTCATTTACTACATAGTTTCCTTCCCTTTTTTTTTTTTTTTTCTCTCTTAATACTATGAACAAAGGACTCGTTGGTGTGCATTGACTCTTGGGGTGTGTTTGGTGCATAAAATTATGATAGGATATGATAAGATAATATTATGATTAATATCAGATTAAATAATGTTATACTATCTTGTGTTTGATGCATGCAAGGATTATGATAGGATAATTTATTTATTAGTCAAAATGATCCTTCTTTAAAGTTTATACAATTTAAATTATTGATGTAATTTTTAAAGGTATAATAGGATATGTAAGTTCAATTCTATCGATTAAAAATAATTCTCTCCATTTTGGGAAGATTGAATCTTCCTATGCTAGAGATGATTATCATCCTATCTTATCAATCATCTTATGCATCAAATATGACTTTAGTCGATTTGAGTTATTTAAATCCTTTCTTTTGGCATTAAGGCTAAATTGCTATTATACTTTTGTCCAAATTTAAGTATTCTGGTAAAATGCAATGGAAGTGAAGTACAATGGCAAAATTCAATATTGGACAGTAGTATAATAGCAAACATGGCTTTCAATTCTGCATTTTAGAAAATAATTTTTTTTTTTAGTCTTTAAAAGCTTCTACTAAGTGGTGATAAATTGTATATTGAATTTTGTTCTATACCTTATGCATTAAGAATTTATATATTACTTTCTAAGTTTTTGCATGAAGATTAGATATGCTTCTTTAATCTGAGTGTTGTAACTTGTAACTTTAGTATCTTAGCACGATTTCTTGTTAAATGTGGGAAACATTATAGGAGGAAAATGAAGTTAAAAGGATTCCTGATAAAGGAATTACAACATGATCGAATTGTGGGAAATTCTATTTGCAGTTATAATTTTGCTTATGACTGCCACATTTTTTATTACAAAATTACCCTTAGATTAAATTACTTTATTATCCCTAATAAAATTACTTTATATCCCTTCATCTGCATCCAATTACCTTGCCTTACTCACAACCCACTTCCAAACAGATGGATATGCACTTTTGGTAATGTTCCCATAATGCCGATTTGTATTTCTGGTAAATGGCCCGCCTTATGGAACTGCAGGAACTGCAGGTCCATAAGTGCAGACCAGGTTTTACACAATGAGCACAGAAATGCATTTCCATATAAACTTCAAGGCAAAACTGCAAGTGCACAAGTGTTATATTGGTTGTATTAAGCAATTTTAATTAGTGAGATGGTGTAGTTAGTACTTGGCTGTTGTGAGCAAAAATGTGATTGGAAATAGAATTTGTCTTGATTTGTATGTATGGCTCATAGAAAAGAATCAGTAAGTATGAAATCATAGAACTTTCATTCATTTTTTTCTAGTTTTTGTTTATTGTATTTTATGTTACCAATTGATATGCACTGTGAAAGGTAGCTTAGATTTGAACATCATTTGAATAATTTACATTTGGCAGGTAGCAACACGTTTATTGTCAGCCAGTCCTTCTCTTTATTGGTTTGCTTCATTACTAATGTATTATCCCAGTATTAGTAAGAGATGTGGATATATGATATGGGCATACTGTTCTGCGTACATCCTCCTGGGTAGCTTGCTGTTTTCAAATTTTTACCCTTTCACTTAAAAGTGGTGGTTCTTTATCATGCAAGCCAATCTTGGCAATGAGTTCTTTCATGTCTTTAATCTATTCTGGATATTTTGAAGTTCTTCCCCACTTAATCATTTCTCCATATGCTTCAAGAAGGTAATGAATGAGACTGGAGGAATCAGGAATTTTGCATGAGCTGCTCCTTGACATGACAACTTGACAGTTTTAAGTATTTATATCGTGTAAAATATTGATAATACGTGTATTTGTATCATATTTTACATGAAAATTATTTATTATTATTCGTTCTGACATAGAAAATACAAAATATATATATATTTTTTATTTATGTTAAACTCATGTTTTTACTAAAATTTAACTCCTGTCATCTTTGTACATATATTTTTTATCATTTTCGTTTAGTGTCTTAGCTCTACAGGCCTATCATTTAAATTGAATGATCGAAAAAGCTCTTGATAATTATGATTGTATGCTTGAATTGAATACTGAGATGGATGTTGCTTAATCCTGCTGTATAAAATTCATATATTCACAAATTTCTTTGAGGCCAAAAGTTCTAAAATGCTATGGAACCGTTTCCATTTAATTAAATCCATGTGGTTCTTTTGTGATTAAGGAAAGAAAATATTCATTAGCTTCTCATGATGAAAAAGCAGTCGCTATTTTTGATAAGTGAAATGGTGTTTGCTTCGTTACTAAGTAATATCATAAAACTAGAGATCATTTTCATGTAAATTATAAATACTAAGTACGAAATTAGAATACCTTAAATTATATTTAAAAAATTAACTAAACTAAAAATGCAAATGAAAAACATATAAGTTAAAAATTGCAACAAATAAACTTAACTAAGGATGAAACTCGCTCCACTTATAATAGGTATTCCCTCGTAGACCTCTCATTTAAAATAATAGTGGAAAGCAAAATTTCTAAATTAGATAAATCTCATTACTAATTTTTATTTAACATATGCATATTCAAAAAAATATTTATTTAAAACAAAAAATTTAAAATGGCACTATAAAATATAATGAACAAAAATATTCGTTTTATTATTTAGAAGTTTTCAACATATGCCCTTTTGTATAGATTATAGATCATAAATGACAAATATTTGTTAAAATTTAATTTAACAAATATTTAAACAATTAAAATCAAACATTGAAAACTTTGATTAAAAAATTTAAACTAAAATAATATTTGTGACACAGATGGAGTACACAATTTAGATATAAATTATAAATATTAAAAAATAAAATAAAAATGATTCCATCCTAATTTGATAGAAATAATAATAATAATAAATACAATCTTGAAATTTGATAAAATTAAATAAAAAATCAGCAATTTTAGTTCAATTAAAATAGGTCTCATTTTAATATAATATTCTGAAAATACATTTATGAATACGGAATAACGGATAAAAAGTATTAATATATATATTTATCTATTTCTTCAAGTCAACAAATAGTCCCGGTTTTCTCTAGCACGAAGTATCCTCCGCTCCTCTTTCTTTCTCTCCCATTTTCTCACTTTCTTCTTTCCCTGGTAAGTAATCTAATCTTTTCTATTCTAATTCCATATTTGTTGAGATTTTCTTCCTTCTTGCTGTTTGGTTGGCGGATTTAAGTCGGAAGCAAGAAAAACCCTTGAATTTTTCCAAATTCTTTTGGGTTATTTTTAAAATTGTTAGAACACGATCAGTTTATTTATTTATTTTTCATAAAATTGGATTGTCATAACTGCAGGGAAGCTAAGTCTTTGATGTTTGAGCCCGAGATTTTTATTGTATCATTATGGTTTTCTTCTCTTTTTTTTTTTTTTGTGAAATTTAAATTTTATCATTAATTTTGAGAAAATAATTAGCAATTCAACTGAGGTTTAATCCAAGTAATAAGATTTGAGAAAATTGTTTGATCTGGTAGACTGTAGTTATCGATGGTAGAGTTGAAATTAGGTGCTGTAATATGAGTTGATTTATCAGGTTAGCTATATGGTTGATTTAACTTAATGAACTCATTTTCTGGAATTATAAATATTTATGTCTTTCTATTTGGTATTTTTTTATTGGTTGGAGTTGAGTAGCTTGCCATGTTTGTTGAAGCGGTGGAATTGTAAGTTTGGTTCATAGATTATTGTAAGCTCAACATTAGGGAAAAAAAAAAAGAAAAAAAAACATTGATTATTGACTGATGAGATGCATTATTGTAATTAAATAGTGGGATTATTGTCTCGAGGGTAAAAGTGTTTTCTAATGTAACAGGTAACCATATATGATGGGTGGAAGTGCGATAGATGATGATTGGGAGTTTACCCCACCTTCCAACCGAGTCAGGACTGTGGTTTTAGTTGGACGTACGGGCAATGGGAAAAGTGCTACTGGCAATAGTATTCTTGGAAAAAAGTCCTTCAAATCAAGGGCTAGCTCATCTGGGGTTACTAGTACTTGTGAATTGCAGAGAACAGTGCTCAAAGATGGGCAAATTGTGAATGTCATTGATACTCCTGGTATGGTGTCTTGCTTGTATCGTTTTTGCAATTATATTTGATAGTAGTATCATTAACTTGGTCATGGAATGGCTGTTCTTTCCTAGGTTATCAATTATCAATTCATTTACTATAAAGACTAATTTAACATGTCAATGCAGGGTTGTTTGATTTTTCAGCTGGATCTGAATTCATTGGAAAAGAAATTGTCAAATGTATTGATCTTGCCAAGGATGGAATCCATGCAGTTCTTGTTGTTTTCTCGGTTAGGACCCGCTTTTCTCAAGAAGAGGAAGCTGCATTGCATAGTTTGCAGACTTTGTTTGGAAGCAAAATTGTCAAGTACATGATTGTAGTGTTTACTGGTGGGGATGAGCTTGAAGAAAATGAAGAAACATTGGAAGATTATTTGGGTCGTGAGTGTCCACAGCCATTAAAGGTTGCTCCCTAAACCAAATGCAACTTGAATTTACATTTATGACCTACTTTATTTGTGTTCAGTTCACCTATGTGTTGGGGTTTGAAGAATATAATACTGACCAGGTGGCAGGATAAAAAAATATTGGGTTCCTAATAGTCCTAATATCATGTTTTACATTTACTAATTATTGAAGTATAATGCTTTGCTTAGATGTGAAGTTCAAAATTTTGATTTTGCTGATTTTGCAAAGATAAAGTTATTGGTGCTTCAGTTGGATGGCATAAACTTTATGATCAGTTCTTTTATCTTTGTTAGAGGGCTGCTAGATGCATGAGTGCTTCATTTGAGAAGATATGATTGCTTAGGTGCCTCCAAGTGGCTGTCTTTGTCTGGATATCTGACAGAAAGGTTCTCATGAATGACATGCTCATGACAAGGGCTTCTTCTGTCTAATGTAGAGGAAATAATGGGGAATCAATTGATCTTATATCATGTTGAATATTTGCTTGGATTCTAGAGTATTTTCTTTTGATTGCATCTGAAAATATTTTATTGCCAAAATCTTTCCAACAGGTGTATCTTATGAAAAATGGTAAATTGGTTGATGAAAAATGCTTGAATTCTGGTGCAATCTCCCTGTAAATATTGTTGCATGTATTTGGTTGGAGGGGACCGGGCAGACTCTTCTTTGTTCCTTTTTCTGTACAGAATTTAGAAATTTGTTCATTTTCTTCTTTGCCTTCTTGTTGAAGCTTATTTGGACATTTCTTGAATGCACTTTGTTTCCTTGGGTTTCAGGATAATGATTAAAAAGTAGATGAGTGTATCAATGATCGGTATTATTCAATGCTCTCAAATTGGAGGGAGAATAAAGAATTCTTGGGTAGCATAGAATGTTAGGCTCTAAGTGAAACATATCTCTTGTTATGCACTGAGCAACCAAAAGATTCTTTATCAATTCACATATTGATACATATAATTTCGGTCTTAGGTTACTGTGTGGAAAACTAAGAGTAAAACTGAATATAATTGAAAACTGCTCATAAATAATTATACAAGCACCTAGGTTTATATATAACTAACTAGTGGGTAACTAGAAAACTAAATCTTCCTAAAATTGATCTTATAATTGAGGGATTGTTTATCTTAATTTTTTATCCTTAATTCTAGGGATACAAATACTTAATTCTAGAGATACAAATATAAATATATAGATTACAATATTACAAGCAGCTGCAAATAGTGTTTTCCCACACTTCCCCTCAAGTTGGTGAATGGTTGTTTTCCATTCCCAGCTTAGAAATAATTTCTTGAAATGTTGCATTGCTGAGACTTTTAGTCAAAACATCTGCAAGTTGACTCTTGGTTGATACATACGATGTAAAATCAACCCACTATCTAGTTTCTCATTTATGAAATGTCGGTTTGCTTCATTATGTTTTGTTCTGTCATGTTGCAAAGGATTGTGTGCAATACTTATTGCAGACTTGTTATCAAGTAGAGTCTCATTGGTCCATCCACTTGATCTTCAAGTTTTCTAGGATAATCTTTAACCATTGTAGTTCGCAAATTCCTTGAGCCATTGCTCTAAATTTTGCTTGGCACTTGATCTTGCCACCACATTCTGTTTTTTACTACTCCAAGTCGCAGATTACCTCTTAGGAAAAGTCAGTAGCTTGAGGTGGGATTTTTAATAGTTATTGAAACTTGCATAAATCGCATCTGTATATGCCTCTAAAATTAGCTCCAAATTTCTTTTGAATAAGAAACCTCTCCCAGCGATAGCCTTCAAAATACGTGCAATACACTATAGATAGCATGTAGGGTGCACTTCTTTAGGACTATGCATAAAATTGACTTATCACACTCATAACTATCAATCAGGTCTAGTAAATGTGATAGATAAATGAGTCTTCCAACTAATCTCTGGTATTTCTGTCTATCTATAGTAGCATTTTCATTAACTTCTCCAAGTTTATGATTAGGATCTATAAGGGTGTTTGCAGGTTTACATGCAAGCTTCCCAGTTTCCTTCAAAAGATGCATTACATAGTTCTGTTGTGAGATGAAAATACCATGTCGTGAGTGAGCTACTTCAATCTCCCTAGCTCTTTTTATCTCAAATTCTCTAGCCAAACATTGTTTTAGAGATTCTCTCTCTTCTTCATAATCTCCGGTTACAATTATATCATCAACATACACTAATAGAACTATGATTCTCCTTGAATCAGAGTGCTTGATAAGCAATGTGTAATCTCTTTGACTTTGCTTATATCCCATTGCTAGCATCACTTTGGCAAATCTCCCGAACCAAGCCCTAGGAGACTGTTTAAGGCTATATAAAGCTCTTTTCAGCTTGCATACTTTGTTTGCTTCTAGATGACCTCCAAATCTCGGTGGAGCCTTCATATATATTTCTTCTTGCAAATCACCATGTAGAAAAGCATTCTTTACATCAAATTGTTGAAGCTGCCAATTGTAATTTGCAGCCAATAATAACAAAATCCTAACTGTATTCATCTTGGCAACTGGAGCAAAAGTTTCCTAATAGTTTACTCAATAAGTTTGAGTGTAGCCTTTAGCCACCAACCTCGTTTTATACCTTTCAACAGTACCATTCGCCCTGTATTTTACAGTGAAAACCTATTTACACCCAGTTGGATTTTTTCCTTGGGGTAACTTTACTAGTTCCCATGTTTTGCTTTTTTCTAAGGCCTCCATTTCTATTTTCATGGCTTGCCTCCATTTCTCATTGAATAATGCCTTGGATAATGTAGTTGGAATTGAAATAGTGGATGCTTAGTACATTCTTTAGTTCCTTTTCTAATAGTAATAGGCATATCATAATTACTAGTTATAGTTTTAGGAGATTCATGCTCATTTTGAGAAACATAGTTAAAGACTGTAGTTAACCTATTTTTAGAGTTAGGATCAGGTTCTTGAACTTGCACTGGTTCAGGATCTGGACCTTTCCTTCTTGATTACACTTGTAATTCCTTCATAAAATCAAGAACAATATTATACTTTGTCACATCTTTAGGTTTATATACAACTAACTAGTGGGTAAGCTAGTAAACTAAATCTTCCTAAAACTGATCTTATAATTGAGGGATTGTCTATCCTAATTTTCTGTCCCTAATTCTAGGGATACAAATAGTTAATTTTAGATATACACATATAAATATACAGAGTACAATATTACAACCAGTTGTAAATTAGTGTTTTCCCACAGTTATAGTTGTTGTTACTTTGGTAGTCAGCATATTGAAACTTAAGCATAATTGGTGTGCAATAGCAACAGATACTTACTTTATCGTTACTGCAAAATGATCAGGACATTCTAGTTCTTTGTGAAAACCGACTTGTACTTTTTGACAACAAGACTAAGGATGAAACCAAGAGAGTAAAACAAGTACAGGATCTTCTATCACTTGTGAACATGGTCATAGCGCAGAATGGTGGCCAACCTTATTCTGATGAGTTGTTTGTGGAACTGAAGGTTAGTGTCTTTACATTCTTTTCAGTTTGCAGTGATTTTAGTATAAAGAAGTGATTTGATTGCATTTATTGGACAGAAAGGGGCAATGAAACTCCGTGATCAACAAGAAGAGGTTGCTGCATTAAAAGGCTACTCCAAGCGAGAAATATCTGAGTTTAAGGAGCAGATTGAAAGATCATATGAAGAGCAGCTTATGCGAATTACTGAGATGGTAATGTGAAATTGTGAATACTTTCTTATTATATTTGATGGTGATATGTATTTCTTTTGACATCTCAATTTTGTAGATCTTTATTTTTCTGGCTGATTTTATAGATCTTTGTTGGTGTATATAATCATAAAAAATACAATAATACCATTGTTGCAACCTAAACTATGAATAAAATCCCAATAACCTAAGGAAAAGCCAAAATATGATGGGATCTTCTATTTGCACCTCAAGAATTACTCTATACGCACTAAAATTTTTATTACAAAAATACCTTTATATAAAATTACTTAGCAACCTTTGGTAAATTACCTTTCAAGCATTCCATTCACCCTTTCCTTCTTTTCTTTGTCTCCATCACAAACCCTAAACCATTAAAATTACTGTTATTATCTTGTACATTGTGAAAATGCATACCCAGAATGTAAAAAATAGGTTGGGATGAAGAGTGACGAATAAACTATTAAAACTACCAAAAAATAAGCATTCTAAATATCCAGAAACTTTCATGAAGCTTATGGATTTGTAAAAGCATTTGCATATCTGGAAGCTTCTAAAAGCTTCCGGAAATGTAAATCCGGAAACTTGCACAGCCATATGGAAATGGGAAACGCATTTCCTTAAGTCACATTTCACAAAAAGGTAACATAGGTTGTGGTATTTGTGAAAAACTCAGAAATAAATTAGTGTGGAAACTGAATGTATATTGAAAAACTGCTAATTAAGATTATACAAGAATCTAGGTTATATACAACTAACTAGGGGTTAAACTAGGAACTAATCTTCCTAAAAATCTAATCCCAATTGAGGGGACTGTCTATCCTAATTTAAAGGATACAATACTTATTCTAGAGATACAAATATCACAATATCAGATTACAAGATTACAACCAGCTGTAAAATAAGTGTTCCCACAGCTCCCCTCAAGCTCGGTGAATAGGTGTTTCCATTCCCAGCTTGAAATAATTTCTTGAAAAATGTTGCACTGCTAAGACCTTTAGTCAACACCTCTGCAAGTTGACCCTTGGTTGATACATAAGGGGCACAAATCAACCCATTGTCTAGTTTCTCCTTTATGAAATGCGGGTCTACTTCAATGTGTTTTGTTCTGTCACGTTCCACAGGATTGTGTGCAATGGTTATTGCAGACTTATTATCACAGTAGAGTCTCATTGGTCCATCCCACTTGATCTTCAAGTCTTCTAGGATAATCTTTAACCATAGTGGTTCACAAATTCCTTGAGCCATTGCTCTGAACTTTGCTTCAGCACTTGATCTTGCCACCACATTTTGTTTTTTACTCCTCCAAGTCACAAGATTACCACCTAAGAAAGTGCAGGAGCTTGAGGTGGATCTTCTATCAGTTACTGAACCTGCATAATCAGTATTTGTATAAGCTTCTAGAACTAACCCCGAATTTCTTTTGAATAAGATACCTCTCCCAGGATTAGCCTTCAAATAGTTCAATATATGGTAGAAGCCTGCTGTAGGTGCACTTCTTTAGGACTATGCAAAATTGACTTACTACACTCACAGATATGCTATATCAGGTCTAGTATGTGAGAGATAAATGAGTCTTCCAACTAATCTTTGGTACATCTCTCTATTTACAGCAGCATCTTCAATAGCTTTCCAATTTTATGATTAGGATCTATAGGGTATTTGCAGGTTTACATGCAAGCTTTCCAGTTCTTTCAGAAGATCCATCACATATTTCTGTTGTAGATGAAACCATGCCGTGAGTGAGCTATTTCAATTCCTAGCAAGTACTTCAATCTCCTAGCTCTTTTATTTCAAATTCTCTAGCCAAACACTGTTTTAGAGATTCTCTCTCTTTTCCATCATCTCCATGACAATTCACAACA